GGCGGGCTTCTCCAGAGCCTCGCAGGTTGCCGACGTCTTCGCCGCCCTCTCACTCTTATCTTTGGTCGGGCATGTTTTACTGAAGGAGCATCTTGGAAGGCACATGAAACATAGACGCAAAATAATCAAACATAGTCAAACGAACACGATCAGATCGTCACCTGACTATTTTCCGACTGAATATTCCTCCTGTAGAGGGACATGCCCGACTTACCTCTTATCCGCAACTGCGGGGTGCTGCGTATTCAGATCAGATGCCATACCGTTTACCAGGTCCCGTACCCTCGTGAATCATCTTGAGCCCTCTCGTCGCCATCTTGGGCCACATTGAGCCCTCGGACCGCTCGCGGGGGGCCCTTTCAGATCCAGGGGAGAGGATGAGATGAGACCAAACCCTTCCCCGACAAGCGAAGGAGCTCGGACGGACGACCTCTTAACTTTGCCTTGACCCCCTGTTGGAGGGTGAGACCCGCGACTGCAAGGTGCTACGTTTAGGTCGGGCATGTCCTCGTAGATTTTGGAACACATAGGAATAAGCACAACAAATCAAACATAGCCAAAAGAGCACGAATAAGCGTCACCAGACTATGTTTGTCCTAGTCTTGAACTTTCCTCATTAGAGGGACATGCCCGACGTAATGCTACGCACTTAGGTAAGATGCCATACTGTTTAGCAGGAACCAGGCCTTCGTGCATCATCTTGAGACCTCTTGGAGATATCTTGGGCCACACTGAGCCCTTGGATCGATTGCGGGGGGGCCCCTTTCAGACCCAGGGGGAGAGAATAAGGCGAGGCCACACCCTTCCCCGAGAAGGGAAGGAGTTCGGAGGAGCGACCTCCCAGCTTTTCCTTGACCCTCGACGGGAGGGTGAGACTCGACGAGGAGGAGGGAGTGCGTCCTGAACAGCCGCCGTCTTCCTCCCGGCTGATTCCTGTGCTTGCCTTCGTCTGCCGCCTCCCGACCAGCCCGTCAGGGTCGGCCCGCCCGAACCACTCGTTCAGGCCCGCCCGCCCGAGCCGCACTTTGGGGTCCGCCCGCCCGATCCGCCCGTCGATGTCTCGATGTCCGCTTTAAGGTCTCGCCAGCCCGACCCGCCCGGGAATGTCCGCCTGTTCCGTTTCTTGGCTGCACGCCTGCCTGCTCGAATGTCCCGTCCGTCCCGCCCGGAAGGGTCCGCCCGCCCCGCCGCTCGTCAGGGTCCGCCCGCCCGACCCGCCTACCAAGGTCCACCCGCCCGACGCGGTTGTGTTCCCCAGTGGGGGTTTACCAAGGGCCTGGTATAAGAGAGAAGGAGCCCCCCACAGCAGGTACGTTCATAAACGAACTAGGTGGGACTCGGGGGTTCGGGGCTTACATGATGTTAATTGCACGCGAGCAGCGGGGGCCGATTCATCGTAAACCTATTGTCGTTCTTGCTATTTTTTTCGGTGTGCGGAGGCCAGTCTCGGGCCCCGGGTCCACAGAATATGTCTGGGGTCTCAGTGGGCGACGTGCTGTTATTTTAGGAGTCTGCCCGGGAGTGGGCAGGACAAAAAAACGAGGGCATTTGGACCACGCGTCAAGGCTGGCGTCTCTGTCGTGCACGCGCAGCATGCCAAGGAGCCCGTGCAACTCTCCCACTCGGAATCCCGCCATCCGGGATTGGACCTTGCCGCGCGTTCTCGCTCCTCGCCGCTCGTCGCCGATCCAATGTTCCAACCAGGCTGCCCGAGACAGCATCCTTGGCTCCTGTAGCACGTCTAACACATGGGCGACGAGAAGAAGCGGGCCTTACGCGAGATGGCACAGCGCCCTCACGGGGTGACTCACGCGGGCCGCCAGCGCGGCACGCCACCTTGCAGGCGAGAGGGCGCTCGCGCGCGACCTCACGCGGGCAGCTGGCGCGCCGACGTCGGCGCAGACGACCCCGCCTTCTCCCGTCGCTCACGTGCTGATCTCTTCGCCATCGCACGCCCGTGCACGTCTCCCGCGGAGTCGCAAACGATGCTCGGCACTGCGCCGCTCGGGAAGCAGAAAGCATCGCGACCGCCGGCCCGATGCCTCGGTGTTTGTCGTCGACGCCGCTCGCCAGCCGAGCCCGTGCCAGTCGCTCGTGGGACCGGCGCCTCTTAGGCCGCGGCCGGATCCCGGGTGGGTGTGCGGGTGTCTGTCCAGGTCTCCCCCCAAACGGGGACGCTTTGACAAGCCAGGACGTTTCACGGGGCCCTGGGACGCACACGCACACACATTCACACATTCACACATTCACACATTCACACATTCACACATTCACACGCTCACGCATTCACACATTCACGCATTCACGCATTCACACATTCACACATTCACACATTCAGACACAGACACACACAGACACACAGACACACACACACACACACCAACGCACCAACGCACCAACGCACCAACGCACCAACACACCAACACACCACCACACCACCACACACCACACCACCACACCACCACACACCACACACCACACACCACACACCACACACCACACACCACACACCACACACCACACACACAAACACAAACACACACAAAGACGACCACAACCACAACCACAACCGCAACCACAACCGCAACTACAACCACAACCACAACCACAAACACAAACACAAACACACACACAAACACAAACACAAGCACAAGCACAAGCACAAGCACAAACACAAACGAACACGCAAACGCAAACGCAAACGCAAACGCAAACACAAACACAACACACACAAACAAACACACACAAACACAAACACAAACACAAACACAACCACAAACACAAACACAACACACAAACACAAACACACACACACAAACACAACCACAAACACAACCACAACCACTATCACAACCACAACCACAATCACAACCACAAGCACAAGCACACACACAAACGCAAACACACAGAAACACACAGAAACACACACAAACAAAACACACAAACACAAACACAAACACACACAAACACAAACACAAACACAAACACAAACACAAACACAATCACAATCACAAACACAAACACACACAAACATAAACACAAACACCAGCACCAACACAACCACAACCACAAACACAAACACACACACAACCACAAACACAAACACAAACACAAACGCAAACACAGCCACAAACACAAACACACACAAACACAAACGCAACCACAGCCACAACCACAGCCACAAACACAACCACAACCACAACCACAAACACACACACATCCACAAACATAAACATAAACACAACCACAACCACTATCACAACCACAACCACCAGCACAAACACAAACACAACACCAAACACAAACACAAACACAACCACAACCACAACCATAAACACCACCACCAACAACAACACAACCACAACCACAACCACACACACAAACACAAACGAAAACACAAACTCAAACACAAACACAACCACACACAAACATATTCACAAACATTTACACAAACGCAAACGCAAACGCAGACACAAACACAAACACAAACACAACCACAAGCACAAGCACAAGCACAGACACAGACACAGACACAGACAGAAACACACACACACACACACACACCTACCCCTCCCCCCCACCCCCACACACACACACACACGCACGCATGCACGCACGCACGCACGCACACACGCACATACACGCACATACACATACACATACACACATACACACATACACACAGACACACACAGACACAAAGACAGGCACACAGACAGGCACACAGACAGGCACACAGACAGGCACACAGACATGCAGACACACAGACACACACAGACACACAGGCAACACACAGACAACACACAGACAGCACACACAAATAGACACAGATGCCAGGATTCCCTACAAAGTTGCCCATGTCTTCTGGGCTTTCGTCGTCCCCCCCACTTTTCAAATTTTTTAGAATGTTTTCCTGGGAATCGACGATTCAATGTGTCTGTGTTTTTTTCCACTCCCGAACGTTGACGTGCCCGAGAAACAACTGCAGCCGTGGGTCGACTCGCTCTCCCAGCCGTCGCTCGCTCCAGGGGGATTTATCTCGGAGTCCTGGTTCGCGATGACCTGGACCTCCTCCTCCTCCTCCTCCTCCTTCTACTCCTCCTTCTACTCCTCCTCCGCCTCCTCCGCCTCCTCCTCCTCCTCCTCCTCCTCCTCCTCCTCCCCTCCTCCTCCTCCTCCTCCGCCTCCTCCGCCTTCTCCTCCTCCTCCTCCTCCTCCTGCTCCTCCGCCTCCTCCGCCTCCTCCTCCCCTTTCCCCTGGGGCCCTGATCTGTGCCTGGGCCCCTCGCACTGGGCGCCCAAATTCGCCCCGAACGCTGGAACCATCCTCGGACTCCCTCCAGGGCCTGGTCCCAGCACTCCGAGGAGCGACGATTCAACCCCGAAGCCACGAGAGAGTGCCCGAACGCATTGCGCCCTCTGCTGCCTCCACGGGGGCGACGACGACGGCAGAAAAAACGACGACGACGACGACGGCAGAAACGACGACGACGATGACGACGACTTCGACGACGACGACGACGACGACGACGACGACGAGGAGCAGCCAGACGACGACGACGACGAGCAGCCCACGTGTCTCTCCACTCCCGCCTCCGCCCTGCACGCTGTGTCACCCACCTGCGCGGTCCACCGCGGCCTCGGGCCCGCCGGCGCATCGCGCGCCTTCGCGCGCCCTGGAAATAACACGCTGCGCGTCACGGCCAAGAGTTTTTGCCCAGTTTGTCGCGGCGGCGGCCCCGGCGGCACGCTGAGCCCTGCGAGCGGAGGGCCAGTCGCTCCGCCCCGCGTGGCGGGAGGCTGGGAAGGCTCGTGACGTGGACGCCGCGAGAGTGGGACGCGGTTTGCGTGTCGCGCCGAAACGCGGCGGGCCAGGCGGCGCGACACGCTAAGCGAAACTCCAGACCGCAACCTCCCCTGCCCTCCGCTGTGCTGGCTTCACTGGGCGTCTTTCTCCCGCTGGGGCGCCCCCCCCCCCCCCCCCAAACGAGCCCTCACGACCGAGCCCGGCTCCGCGAAGCCCCAGCACATGCTGTGTCGGTACGGCTCGAAGGCGCATTTGCCGCGCTCCTCCTGCGGCGCCGCGCGGAAGGGCGCGCGTGCGATGCAGCGGGGCCAAGCGCTTTGTAGCAGGGCGCGCAAGGCGCCGCAGCGCGATTGGGCGCCAGGAGGCCCGGGAAACGCTGGGGCGACGCGGGACCTCCGAGGGCGAGGCCCCTCATGCTCCTATGCTCCTGGGCGTGGTGGGTCACCCAGGCCCCGATGGGCGACGACTTGGCGATGGGGGGTAGGGGAAGAGGAGGAGGAGGAGGAGGAGGAGGAGGAGGAGGAGGAGGAGGAGGAGGAGGAGGAGGAGGAGGAGGAGGAGGAGGAGGAGGAGGAGGAGGAGGAGGAGGAGGAGTGATGGGGACTTTTCTAGCTACGCCTGCTAAACCCCCAGATGGCTATGGTACACGTGCGAATCCGCTGATCACATTCGGGGTAGGAGATATAAGACACATCAGTTCACAGTGCTATACACAAGGGTATTCGAACACTCCTGCTCGCGGGAGGTTCTGCTGACCAGAACCGAGTGCGCTGCTACTCTACCTACACCTTCACTAGATGCTTTGCTGTCGCCGCCCGCGCTCAGAAAACAATGGCTCGACATCTTCATAAACTTTGTGAGGGAATCTCCATTGACAGGTTTCGTGCGCATATCTGCGATGTTGTTCTTTGTCCCTACCTGTTGCACATCGATCTCACTTCGCGCCACCCTGTCCTGGACCCACAAGTGGTGGGGCTGCACATGCCTTAGCTTCCCCAGCCCTGGCCGGGCGCAGGTGCCACGTGCAGCACTAATGTCTGTGACCACCGTCACATTGACCTTATAGCCCCAATCGGCTAGCAGCGCCTGCAGTTGCAAACCAATTGAGGCAGCTTTGACAATCCCGTAGAGCTCGCTCTCACCACTCGAGAGAGCGATGGTGCTCTGGAGTCCAGACAATGCCTTCACACAGTGCTTCCCCATGAGCACGGCTGTGCCTGTTGTGTTCCTTCGCGTGATTCGACACCTTGCGTGGTCTGAGTCTGAGTACACGGTGGTGTCCTTGTGCATATTCTGCGGTTCAAAGCGCAAGACGACCCGGGGTCTGCCCACCAGGTAACGACCTAGACGCTTCAGGTCTGCGAAATCGGCTTCGGTCGGTCCAATCATCTTTCGAGCAAACGACTTGACGCACTCGCACAAGCCCGCCTTGTCCTGTGCTAGATAGGACGTCCTCATGACCAAAGACCTGTAGAACCTCTTTCGGTGATCATCCACCTTCGGCAGCGACAGTGCCGCCGACGCGGCGCTAGCCGTTTTCTTTTCGGCTGGCGCTGTCACGGCCTTCGCTTTCTCTAGTCCCAGTGCTTTTATGATCCGTTCAGCGTGACGTTGGTCTGCTTCGTGCTCCACCACGCCGTTCTCTTTGCTGTGCCGGATCGTTCTGTTCAGTGCACGCATCTCTGTGCCGTCGCTGGCCTCTGGACCGACGCACCCTTCCAATCTAAGATCGTACCGTGCACGGAATAGTGCTTCTACTTTCTGCTGTCCGTCTTCGTCAGCTAAAACGACACAGTCGCCAGCGTGTGCCAAGATCCATATATCCTCTGTTGCATTATAGAACACCGCCGTGCTAGCACGCCCTCGCTTGAAGCCGTTCTGTTCGAGGAGGCTGCTGTGGTCGCCCTGCCAGATGGCCGACGCATCTTGCGTGCCATACATTGAGCGCTGCAAGAGCGCACGATATCCCTCCTGTTGGTCTCTCTCTCTCTCTCTCTGTCTCTCTCTCTCTCTCTCTCTCTCTCTCTCTCTCTCTGGGAGAGACACGTAAACCTCCCGCCTGGCAACCCCGTAAAAGCGCACGCGGGAAATGTCGAACTGTTTCAGCTTTAGGTTATTCCTCTGCCCCTTGCTCACCTTCAGCGTGGTCAGCATAGAGTACAACATCTTCAGTGACTCAAGCGGGGGCATCGAAAAGAACAGCTCGTGGTCTGGCAGTGCTCTCTTTCCGTTCTTTGTAATCTCTCGAACAACAACCCTGCTACGATACTTTTCGTTGGCGTCGTCTCCTTTGTTCGTGTCAACCCACTTCAAAGAGATCGGACTTTTGCCCGTTCGGTCCCAACAGTGCCGGGTGGGGACCTTGACGTAAACCTTCTGTTTTCCGATCCACTCTAGTTCGGTCTCGCTGGCTTCTCTCCCCTTTTTTGGACTTCAGCTCTCCCCCAGAGATATCGTCGAAATATACCCCCGGCTCCTCGTCTACATTTTCTCCTTCCTCTGGCACGGGCCCCGCGCCCGAAGCCTGCCCAAAAGATCATACTTCACCCTTCTCCTCGGCAGCATGTAATGCAGCGCTGAGGATGGCGACCTGGATCGCCTAATGTTCCCGGCCAGTCTCAACCAACCCACCGTCGACCACGTCTATGCGCCTGTGCCAGGTTACGCCCAGCCTCCTCCGAGACTCGCCCCGGATGCTCTCGGCCAGGTGGCCACAGTCAGTAACCCAGGCGATATTTTTTCGCATGTAGGAGCCCTCGGCTCGACCCCGAATGCGCCGGCGGCACTTCGGCCCTTCGCTTTGGAAACCGCCCGGTCTCTGGAACTCCTGTTCTGCCCACCCGGGCATGCCCGTTGGTCTCTCCAGCAGGTAATGCCTTCCCTGGCCGCGCCTTTAAAGACGCAAATCAACCGCCACCTTCATGGCGCGCCGTGCCCGCTCCACACCAGGCACGTCAGCGCCGCTCACAGCCCCGGCGAACGCTTCCAGTGGAGGTCTCAACGCCAATGCGTATGGATCCTCCTCCTGCACCGCCGCCTGAAGCTCAATCGCATGCCCTTGGTCGGACAAATCCCACGCATTGGCTTTGCTCGCCTTCTGGGGAACGTCGCAGACGGCAGTGTCCACCGCGAAACCTGGCGTCAGACCGAAAATGCCTGACTGAACGTCGTTCTCGTTCACAGACGCGGGAAGAGGATTCACGATGCCAGCACCATCAAAGCTGCCATGTCCCAGACTACTCAGGACACCACGCATGTTAGAGACATCAGTCTTGCTGACACTCAAACTCGCTATGTGGCACGTCTCGGCCACCGCCTCTTCCAGACTGCACAAACCACTGACGTCCAAAGCCTGTCCCATCTTGACGTCGCGATAGGACCCGTTCCGGCCTGGTCCTGCTGAACCTGAAGAACCTCCTTTCTGCGCGGGGCTTTGTGGTGGCGCTGCAGCCCCTGGCGAAGCACCTGGGGCCGCTGCCTCGCCCGCTGCGTTGGCCGCGTCTACGGCCAGTGGCGCTTCCGGCGCCTCTCCTTCCTTTTCTCCTCCTTCCCTGTCTCATGTCCTTCCTCCTAGGCCCTCCTACTCAATGGCCATCGGCGCTCCTAACGCCTCGTTGGCCGCTACTTCCCCTTCTACGGGATTTGGCCTGGCCTTTACAACGGGTTCATCGGAAGCCTCTTCGGACCTCTTCCTCTTCTTCGCCTCCTCAACGCGCTGTCTCCCCGCAGCCGTCTTCGTCAGCTCCTCCTGGATCCGGGCGCGACAATCGATCGAATGGGCCTGCTGGCGCATGCCTGTCGCCAAGGACGCGCGCCCCTTGCGGCCTGGCCACGTGCCGAACTTGTCGATATCTGCACGCTTAACGCACAGAGCTCCGGCCACGTCTTTGAACTCGTGCCGCAGGGTCGGTGGAGCTGCGACGGCGGGCGCCGCAACGGCCGGCACCTCGATGGGCATGGGCGCTGCCGTGTCCTCGCACTCCTTTGGCTGCACGTTCCACGGCGGCCCCTTCAGCTTGGACAGCGCTGTGTTGTCCCACTGGCCAGGCTCCGGCTTCCTGTGGATATTTGCCCCCTATCACGACTCCTTCTTCGATCGTGGCCATGACATCGGCATTTCTGCCGCGCGTGCCAACGTAACTACCGACAGCGACCTTCGACTCGAAGTCGTGCTTGCGACAACAGGTCTTCGCTGGTCTGAAAAACAAGCGCCCCCCAAACAGTACTTGGGGACGTTGCAGGTGGCCCCCTCGTAGGGGGCCCCCCCGTCCTCACCTGCGCGGAATCGCGACATCAAGAAATCCGCGTGTCTCGGCATCCAAGCGAACAGAGGATCTGTGTACTTCAGCTTCACTTCCAGTTTCTCGTCGGCGCTGCTCTTCCGAGCACGGATTGTGCGCTTCAGCTCGCGCGCCACGACCTCTATCTCGCCATTTGCTTGGTGATCGCCTGTGGGGGCCTCCAGCATGGCGACTTCTACGTCCGCCAGCTGCCCCCGGGCTTTGGTCTTTAGGGCAAGTGTGGCCGCTTCATCATCATACTTCAAAATGATGCGTTTGCACCCAGTCTCGCGGATCGCGTCCGCCAGGCACTTGATCGCGAAAAGATCGTCGCCCTCCCTTTCGATCACCGTGCACCAAAGACGTTTTGTTTTTTTGTCCTTGACTGCCAACATTGGCATTGTGCCCTCATCAGTCTGCCCCGTGAACACGTAGTCCAACATGACAGGGGACAGCGTTCTCCTGCTCGTCAGGAGCTGGCCGGCGAGGGTTGTCAACTGCCCGGGAAGACATGCAATGATGACGCCACTTTCGGTGCACCACGTGCCCGGCAGCCTCGCGTTCCTCTCTTTCCCTTTCGGTTGGCGCCTCCGGCCCTCTAGGCACGTCAGCGCTCCGTTGTTCTTCTCCTACTTCCTCCCTCCCCTCCTCTGGCCTTGCCTCTTGGAGTGCCGGCCGTTTCCCGACGCTGGGCCCTCGGGCCCAGCGCTGTCTTCCAGCGGGTTGATGGGCTCATCCTGCTCAGTGTTTGGTGGCGCTTCTAGGTAGTAGTCGAAAACGAACGCGACCTTGTGTGGGTCGATTGGAACAAGCTCCTCCTCGCAATACCTCTTCCCGAGCTTCCCAGGAAACTTGCGCATTTCAACCGCAAGCTTGCTTTTACGAAGAATTGCGTAACCGCCGTCGTTGCCTAACCGCGCGTCGCTGTGCCCACGCATCTTTACACCAGAAACAAAAACTTCGTGAGCGTCGGCAACGCGACCCTC